ACTCCTTGTGATTTACATCATGTGATGTCACGCATAACTAATTAATTATACAAATGATTAAGGCTGGTATTTTTTTCCAAGAAAGGTGGCAAACCTAACTACTCTTCACATACTCTTGCTTAAAGGAACACTATAGGGTCAGAAACACATGTATACTCATGTATTTCTGACCATATTATGTTAAAACCCCCATCTAGCCCCCCTGATCCACTCTTGCCTCACTAAATATAGTAAAAGCTTACTTGTATTTAAGTCTGCAGCTGCAGGCTCTGCCTCTGAACTCACTCTGTCTGCTGACATCATCAGAAGTGGTGGTCTGAGCAAATGACAATGTTTCCCCATAGGATGTGCTGAGACTGTCAACTAGGCAGATGAGGGGCAGAGCCAGCACAAGTCAAATACAGCCCTGGCCAATCAGCATCTCCTCATAAAGATAAATGTATTCAATGCATCTCTATGAGGAATGTTCAGTGTCTGCATGCAGAGGGTGGAGACACTGAATGGCAGTGCTGTACACTATGCAGTACCGCCCCAGGAAGCACGTCTACCAGCCATCTAAGGAGTGTCCATCGGAGTTATGTTCTCTGAAAAGACAGTGCAAAAAGCCTGAAGGGAATGATTCTACTTACCAGAACAAATACAGTAAGCTGTAGTTGTGCTGGTGACTATAGTGTCCCTTTAAGGTTGGAAGATTAGGATGGATGCATGGGAACAAAACTTGTGTGGACTGGCTGACAATAAAATTAGTTTAGATAATGCAGACTTTGGTCTCTCTAACACTGCGGCATGTTCCCTTTCTTCCATTAGAGAGAAATTAGCATAGAGTATGTGTTTTCGTATAGCTTCATCCTTTTGAGTTTCCCTCCAACACCAACTCCATCAGATACATGACGCTTGGGAGCTATGATTGTTTTAGAGTTTTTGGTTGATAAGATTCTGTAAATAGGCCCATCATAATTGTCAGCACCACACCCACTGGGCTCTTAATCTGGGCCTGTTTATGATACATCCTTCTTGTAATTTGTTTAGGGATGATTAGATTGAATGTAACCTCCCTTAGATCTATTGTAGCAGAATGTATATAGCTGAAGATTTTTGTCACAAAATGACAAGAGTGAAGTATCATAAACTGTAATATCAATGAAGCAATTTAATACTGTATCTTAGTAAAGTGCTAATTCTGATACTCCTGTCTCTTGGCCTAACGGTTCCCCTTTTTATCACACTTTATCACCTTCCACAGGATTTACTTGGAAACCAGAGTAATCTGAATGTCCCTTTCCTGGTTAAATACTTTGTTGTTATTAGTTTCCCATTTCACTTTTTTATTTATTCACCCTATTTGTTTTTTTGTTTTTTTTGCAATGTTTACTAATTAATAAAGACTCAACTGAAGTGATTGTTTTTGTTTACCAACAGGAATGATAATATATTGGTAATAATAATTTGAAGCCTGACCCACTAGTTGGGGATTTCTTCATTTGTTTTCATGCAAAAGATAAGCATATATGTACATATATTCATCACACCTAGCAATCAGCCAGTACGTTCATATATGCAGTATAAAAGGTAAGGTCTCTTGTTTGTAGTGCTTGTAGGTAGCGTGAACAACCCAACCCAGTCTCTACTTTTTAAACGTGGATGGTGTGGATAAAAACTTAAATTGCTTCCCACTGCTTTTTCCACAACATTCATATATGTGCCTGTCTTAGAACAGCACCATTTATAAGCAATCATTGTTTTGCCCTTTCCCTCTGCCTAATATACACAAAAGGCATCAACTATGTTAATGATTTCCTCCAAGCGCACTGACACAGAGCCTCACATAGACCGATTATACCTGACCCTACAATCAGTTGATTGTAAGATTATCACCTTTTCATTAACACTTTCTATATCATTGTTATACTAGGATTGTGCTAAAATTATACATTTAGGTTATTTTAACAGACATCATACTTCAAGGGACACTATAGTCACGAAACTTTAGCTTACTTATGCAGTCTCGGTGTATAAATCATGTCCCTGCAGTCTTACTGCTCGGTTATCTGACATTTAGGTGTTAAATTACTTTGTTTATGCAGACCTAGTCACACCTCCCTGCATGGGACTTGCACAGCCTAAACACTTCCTGTAAATTTAAATCTAATGTTTACACTTCCTTTATTGCAAATTCCATTTAATTTAGAATGTCTTGCCTCCTGCACTGTTAATAACCTTATATACTCTACAGTAGCCTCCTGTGTGTGATTAAAGTTCAATTTACAGAGCAGGAGATAAAAACATCTAAAGTTAAGATATTATTGAAAAGAAACCATTTTTTTTTCATGCAGACTGTGTCAGTCACAGCCTGGGGAGGTGTGACTAGAACTGCATGAACAGAAACAAAAGTGATTTAGTCCTAAATGACAGAGAATTGAGTAGTGAGACTTGAGGCATGACCTATACACTAAAAGTGATATATTAAGCTAGTTATATTATGTTATTTTAGTGACAATAGTAGCCCTTTAAGAGGACTAAAAACACTTTTGTTATTATTTTAGGTAGCATTAATTAGCTGAAAAATTCATATTTATCCTCTCTGGGTTCAAGCTGTCAGTTGATTTCCAGCTTTGGCCAGATTTGGAGTTGACATTATGTGAGTGAACCTTTCCAGTGAATGGGAAGGATCATTGTATAGTTACGTTGAGTGAACAACTCTACTGATTTAAAGCGACACTGTCATGCCAAACTTACCTTTCTCCTATTGTTTCCTCTTCTCTTCTTCTCTCGGAATCTGTTCTTCTTATCTTTATTTCTGATCTTGTTTTCTTTAAAATATAAGATAAAGGAGTACTTTGTCTTATGTATTATTATTTAAGGTCTCCACCCATTATTATTTAAGCCCCACACTAACCGCCAAATGGTGGGACTTGGGGGCACTATGTTTTCCATTCATTTTATTTAACAGGCCCCCACCCATGGCAAGGATGGTGGCTGAAGAGGGACACTAGATCCTCCCCTTTTATTTAATAGCTCCCTTGCAGAACACAGGGAGATACTATGTCCCCCTTGTTAATTAATTTATTAGGTGCCATAGCATAAGGGACATGTGCTAGATCCCCCTTTATTGGATTAGCTGCCTAGTCACTAGTCTTTGCTTATGTCAGGGAGCAGTCACTGACTGCTTGCTGTTTAATAGAAGTGTTCCTATTTGCGGCACAGAGGGTAGGGGCAGAAGGGAGTATTTAACCTCGTTAATACTAATATGATGATGCAATTTGCAGGATGAAATTTCCTCAAACAAGCAATTAGTTCTTCATTTCATTTGTTGTAATTTGTATTTGTTCATTCGTCTTTCAGACTAGTGGACGAATAGCCGAAATTCGGTCGAAAACATGTTAATCCGAAAACAAATGTTCAAGTGGCCATGTAACAGTTTTGTTCTGTAAATAATGTATTTGTTTACAAGTTACACATTGACAAACAATTAATAGTGTATTCTTCTTCATCTAAAGCAGAAGAGGAAAAGGAGCCACTAGACACACCTCTTGATTAATGTGGAAAGAAAAAATAGGTACATATCTGTAAATCTTAGGGGAGGCCTAAGTGGCTCTGTCACCTCAAACTGACCTTTCTGCTGTTGTTCCCACTTTTCTTCCTCTTTCAGAATCGGTTCTTTTCTTCATTTCTGTTTTATTTCTTTTTAAAACATTGTAATAACTACTCTTCCTTTGTTATCTTGACAAACTTGAAAAAGGAAGTGGAGCTTGTGTTCACCTAAAGCATGGGAAAAATACATAAGGTAAAATATGTTCTACTTGTGTTTTATGTTTTGAAACAAACTAGATTAGAAATTAAGAACTGATTATGAAAGAGGAAGAGAAAAGGAAACAATAGGAGAAAGGTAAGTTTGAGGTGACAGAGCCACTTTAAGCAGTGTACATATCTTTTTGACTACTGTGAAAAAGTGGACACATTTAGAATCAATGAACTTCTAATTTTAAACAGGGTCAATAGGGAGATTTGACTGAGAACCTTTTCTATTATTATCTTAAGAAAAAAGTGCACACTAGTTTCTTTACTAAACTCAAGAACAATGAACGTTGTGCCCTCTAGCAATGTCCATACCCTTTTTTTCAAGATACCTACATTTCAACCTCTAAGTTATCAGGTATAGTGTCTGTGGAGATGGACACAAAAAGAAAATCTTATGACAGCAAGAACAAAATAGTTGGTAGGTCCTCGTGGGATTTATCGAACAAGTTCAGGATGTCCATAACACTTGCACTTGTTTTGCATATCATTAGGGGAAAATATAAAAATTAAGGAAAGAAAAAGTAACCTAAATTTAATTCAACAGGATTGTACAAAACATCTGTCTCCTGGTTAGATATTTCTACCTGTAGGACAAGAATATATAGCTTGACAGTCTCTGACTGGTGCCAAAAACTACCCATAAGGGAGGCCTGAAATATTGCCCTGGACAGGTTCAATCTCTAAGGATTATAAAGAATGTTAAATGTTGAAATGATGCCAAGAAAAAGCATCACCACTGTAAATTAAAAATGTTGCTTTTGCTGAAACAAAATCTGCAAAAATGTATGCTATGCAATATATATAAGCTATGCAAATCTGTAATTGTGAGTGGAGCATGTAGGTGATCCAGTATAGAGGAACCCTCACCGTATCTCTACCCAGTACCCTAACCCCAGGACCGGACTGGGAAGAAAATTCGGCCCGGGCATTTTTTAATTACAGCGGCCCACTAAAAAGGGGGCGGGGCCAGATAGGGTGTGTTTTGTCATCACCAATGACAAGCACGCCCCATCACAAAGTGAGCATGTTGGTTCAATGCTCTTTCAGGGTAGACCATGCGCAGAGCTCTGCTGAAGAGCTCTGGCATGAAAAAAATACCCTGTATTTGTTCTGCACAGCGCAAGCAAATTTAAGAACATGCTTGCACTGTGTTTGCTTGAAATTTGTCTCTGGTGTCTCCATAGTTGGGATACCAGGAGACAAAAATGCCAGGAAAGCATATTGCGCAGTGTGTGTGAGGGTGCTCTGTGTGTGTGTGTGTGTGTGTAAGGGGTGTAGCGTGTGTGTGAGTGATGGGTGCTGCGTTTGCATGAGGGTGCTATGTGGGTAAGGGTGCTGTGTGTGTGATGGGTGCAGTGTGTGTGTGCTGTGTGTGAGTGGGTGCTGTGTTTGCATGAGGGTGCTATGTGCATGTGAGGAAGCTGTGTGTGAGGGTGCAGTGTATGCATGTGAGGAAGCTGTGAGTGTCAGGGGTGCAGTGTGTGTAAGTGAGGGTGTGTGATGTGCGTGTCAGGGGTGCAGTGTGTGTGTGTGAGGGTGCTGTGAGTGTCAGAGGTGCAGTGTGTGTGCTGTGCGTGTCAGGGGTGCAATGTGTGTGTGTGAGGGTGCTGTGAGTGTTAGGGGTGCATTTTGTGTGTGCTGTGAGTGTCAGACGTATAGTGTGTGAGTGAGGGTGCTGTGAGTGTCATGGGTGCAGTGCGTGTCAGGGGTGCAGTGTGTGTGTGAGGGTGCTGTGAGTGTCAAGGGTGCAGTGTGTGTGCTGTGAGTGTCAGGGGTGCAGTGTGTGTTTGAGGGTGCTGTGAGTGTCAGGGGTGCTGTGTGTGTGCTGTGTGTGTCAGGGGTGCAGTGTGTGTGTGTGAGGGTGCTGGGAGTGTTAGAGGTGCATTTTGTTTGTGCTGTGTCAGACGTGCAGTGTGTGTGAGGGTGCTGAGAGTGTCAGGGGTGCAGTGTGTGTGCTGTGTGTGTCAGGGGTGCAGTGTGTGTGTGTGTGTGAGGGTGCTCTGAGTGTTAGGGGTGCATTTTGTTTGTGCTGTGTCAGATGTGCAGTGTGTGTGTGAGGGTGCTGTGCGTGTCAGGGGTGCAGTGTGTGTGTGAGGGTGCTGTGAGTGTCAGACGTGCAGTGTGTGTGCTGTGAGGGTCAGACGTGCAGTGTGTGTGTGAGGGTGCTGTGAGGGTCAGACGTGCAGTGTGTGTGCTGTGAGGGTCAGACGTGCAGTATGTGTGTGTGAGGGTGCTGTGCGTGTCAGGGGTGCAGTGTGTGAGGGTGCTGTGAGTGTCAGGGGTGCAGTGTGTGAGGGTGGGAGTGTCAGGGGTGCAGTGTGTGTGTGTGAGTGTCAGAGGTGCAGTGTGTGTGTGTGTGTGAGGTGTGGTGTCAGGGGTGCAGTGTGTGTGTGTGAGTGTCAGGGGTGCAGTGTGTGTGTGTCAGGGGTGCAGTGTGTGTGTGTGTAGTGTGAGTGTCAGGGGTGCAGTGTGTGTGTGTGAGTGTCAGGGGTGCAGTGTGTGTGTGTGTGTGTCAGGGGTGCAGTGTGTGTGTGTGTGAGTGTGAGTGTCAGGGGTGCAGTGTGTGTGTGTGAGTGTCAGGGGTGCAGTGTGTGTGTGAGTGAGGGTGCTGGGAGTGTTATGTACCCTGCTGATATCCCCCCTCCCTGCTTACCTTATGCCTGGGAGGGGGGATCCTGCTACTCCTGCTGCCATCCCTGGTGGTCCAAGTTGGGCCTGTTGGGCTAGAGTTCACTCTCGCGAGACCCGGAGCATTGCCATGGCAACGCTCCGAATCTCGCGAGAGGAACCCGCCGGAGCTGTAAGTTAAAGCTCCGCCGGGTTCCTCTCCTGGCAGGCTGGCTCCCTCCCTCTCTCCCCCGGCGGCCGCAGTATTCTCTATGTGGGCCGGTGAGGGAGATCTCTGATCTCCCCACCGGCCCGCTGTAGACTACTGCAGGGCCGGCGTTCAGATAGCGCCGGCCCTGCAAAGACCGGCAGGAGAGATCCTGTGATCTCCCTGCCGGCCTCGGCCCCACGGCCACCGCGGCCCACCGGGCATTTGCCCGGTGTGCCCGATGGCCAGTCCGGGCCTGCCTAACCCTAACCTGATCCCTATCCATATATATAATCATATAAACATAAGATGGTACTGATCAAGGCAGGACTACAAACAAATAGCCAGTGTGATATGTAGCCACAATTTATGTCTCTAGGCCAGGGCTTCCCAAACTTTTATGGGCCGAGACCCATTTTTCAAAACGGTAATTTTTCGAGACCCACTTGCTTTTAATGCGTATTTTAAAAAGTGAACACCATGGCAATCAGCTTCAGAGGCATACAATTGGCACACCATGGCAAACCGCTATAGAGGCATACAATTGGCAAACTATAGCAATCCGCTTTAGATGCATACAATTGGCACACCGTGGAAATCCGCTTTAGATGCATACAATTGGCACACCATGGCAATCCGCTTTAGATGCATACAATTGGCATACCATGGCAATCAGCTTTAGATGCATAAAATTGGTACATCATAGCAATCAGTTTTAGAGGCATAGAGGGAGAGAAGGCATAGAGGGAGAGAAGGGGTTACAGTGGGGGGTGGAGGGGCAGAGAGAGAAGGGGTTACAGTGGGGGTAGGCAGAGAAGGGGGTTACAGTGGGGAGGGAGGAGGGCAGGCAGAGAATGGGTTATAGTGGGGGGAGGGGGGCAGGCAGAGAAGGGGTTACAGTGGGGGGGTAGGCAGAGAAGGTTTTACAGGGGGGAGGTCACCCAAATACCCCACGAAACTAGTGGTTCTGACTCAGACTCTAATAAGGGAGGTACCCAAATACCCCACGAATATAACACCAGAAGTATCCTCAAAAGAGGTGACTTTTTTAGGGAACCCGCACATGGAGGACAACACAGCACCACAAACACGGAGCCGTGCCAGACCTCCATAACGATTCAGAAGGAAATAGTATTAGCTAGGACACCTGCAGAGAATCAAATTATTAACCTCTCTTCCTATACCCCCACGAAATCAGAATTACAATTATTACAATGTGGTATGTCCTTCGTTACAGTTTCTAAATTCGATAAGTTCAGCTGGACAAAGGACATACACCTTTTTGCAAGAAAACTGGCGTTACACAAGTTCCATCGCATTCGCGATGAGAAAAGAGCTTAAAATCTGGGCCTACAAGCCTCGGACATCTGTAAACCCGCAACCTCCTTTTACACAATTAAGGAGAAAGAGTCTATTTACCCCACACTTGGCAGAATTCAAATATATTGATTTATTTGTTAACGTGTGGCAAAATAGACAAAATCAACCAGAAAGACCTTATTATCCAACCCGGCAGTAACATCACCCCACAAGAACAAATATCCCTTAAACATCTGAAGGCGTTGGACAAGGTGATATTTAAACCATCTGATAAGGGTGGGAATACAGTCATCCTGAACAAACCTGATTATGTATCGATAGTACATAATCTGATTCAAGATAGTGACACATATGAAATACTTACTAGTGACCCCACCAAAATGTATTTAGTGGAACTCAAAAATATCCTGCATACAGCCCTGACCACGTCTTTAATTTCCAAAGATGAATATAATTTCATACTGGTCAAAAACCCTATAGATGCAACATTTTATGCCCTCCCAAAAGTACACAAAAAAAAACATAAGTGGTAGACTAATTGTCTCTGGAAAGGGTAATCTGACCCAAAATGCCAGTCTGCATGTGGACCAGATCCTGCGGAAACTGGTTGTTGAACTCCCGTCTTATTTAAGAGATACGAAGCATACCTTGAATACTATAGAGGAACTATCACTTACGGGTGATGCCATCGAGGCTACGGGTGTAGCCTTGATGTTGAGAGCTTATATAGCTCCATACTACACGAAGTGGGTTTAAAACATATTCGAGCCTTTTTGGATGTGGACCCTATAGTTTCCTCTATACACAACCAATTTGTGCAGGATTTGATGAAGTTTATCTTGACACATAATTATTTTATTTTCCAGGGTAAATACTACCACCAGGTGAGAGGAACGGCCATGGGGACGGCTTGTGCCCCCTCATATGCCAACCTCCACTTGGGCTGGTGGGAAACAACTATGGTGTTCAATACAAACATGCAGAGATATACTAGACACATCAAATTATGGAAGAGATACATCGATGATGTCTTGATCATTTGGACAGACACCATAGCTCTCTTCCATGAGTTTGTGACGACCCTGAACATGAATGACATTAATCTGAGACTAACGAGTGAAGTTAGGGGAAAGAGAATTAATTTCTTGGATATTACCATCACGTTGACAGAGGATGGGTATCTTAAGTACACACTATTCCGTAAACCAACAGCGACTAATAGTTTGTTGAATTAGGAAAGTTAACATCCTCCACCCCTTAAAAAGGGCATACCCATCCGACAATATTTACGCCTTCGACGCAACTGCTCTACCGTAGAGGACTTCAAATTTAAGGCCAAGACTCTACAATGTCAGTTTAAACTAAAGGGGTATCCAAATAGATGCATTAAAAATGCATACAAACGTGCACTTCTTGCAGACCGTAAAGACCTATTATCAGAGGATACCAACCAAAAGCCATCAAAATAAATTATCAGGTGCATAGGGAATTTCGATGCCGGTTGGCATCAAATTATCAAGATTTTGGAAAGATTCTGGCCCCTATTGCACCAGGACTCACATATACATAAAGTGATTACATCTCATGCCTCGGTCACCTCAAAAATACCCCACAGAATCCAACTTGGCTGAAGTCGCCAGTAATAGGTACATACCAGTGTGACAGATGTAAAGCCTGCAACTTCATACGCCGCCCCTCAAAAACCTTCCCAGATTCCTCCTATTCCCAGGAATTCAATGTTAAAAGCTTTTTTAATTGCCAATCGAAAGGTTTAGTCTATCTACTTACCTGTTCTTGTAAGAAACTTTATGTTGGCAAAACATCTCGCATATTTAAGCTCAGAATAAGGGAACATGTTAATTCAGTGAATCCGAGAAGACTGATAGATAAACCAGTCTCTAAACATCTTAAACTGCATCATAGTGGGTGACTGGAGGGGAATATTCATTCTGGCTCACATTTCATTTGGAGTGACTGTACACAATATACATAGTAAATCTACTAAGGTCTATTGTTTGCATACATTGGTTAAATATTGATCTTTATTAAATTGCATATCTTGTTGGTCCTAGATCCATCTACATACAGCACAGATCTTGCACATAGGACAATACATTCTCCCATTACTAGACGCACATGTGGGCTATGTATATAATAGGGACAATTCCTGACGGTTGATAGGATGCCTAATAGGCTTGGGAGTTATAATCCATAAGACTACAGACTCAGTCCGTTACGGAGCAAGTGACTAATCCCGCCCATGTGGGCTGCATGCCGCAATATGTTCCATGCTAGTAAGCGACTATCCCCGCCTGTGTGGGTTGGACTTTACATTTGGATCCCTAAACAGACTCAGTAAGACACCTCCCAGCTCCGATCACGTGGGGTACCTATGTGTAAGCGGATTGGCAGCAATAGACGGCGTGAGTGCCGACAGCAGCCACACCTGGGTGAGATTTTCCCCACGGACATCATTGGCTACAGGTACTCAGGTTCTTTGGCGCCCATTATACTTAAGAGAGTCCTGATCATTATTCTGTTGGCCCCTGAGAAA